CTAAATGATGATTTTTTATTAGTGAAACGATATATTCTTTAAAAGTACTTTAAACTGTATAAATAAGTTACCTGGTTTAATTTAATTTTTCTATTGGTCAAGATAACGAGTAAATAATCTAATAATCTGTGGGCTACTTTAAACTAATGTATATCCATAGATTTAAAGAACCCGTAGATTATTTATATTATCTGTAATAAAATATGTGATGAAACAGATTTAATATTAATGAAATTGCATGGAAAAGAATTTTTAAAAAGTTTTTTAAAGCCTCAATATTATTCATTAGCTGAGAAATTATGTAATAAAATATTTAAAGAAACAGAAAAAGACAACTTTTTAAAAATTCAGTTATTAGATGTTTTTATCTTTTCATTTGTAGAATTAATACAATTTCCTCAATTATTAAAAAATTTTTTATCACATACTTTATTTATTCATTCGACTAATAACTATGAAGAAATTAAGTTTAACAAATTTTTTTCAAAACCACATCTTCAGAATCATATGAAATATTTACAAACTTATTCTACTAGTAAAATTAAAATGAAGATTCAACAGCTTTTTAATTTATTAATTTCTAAACTTTCTTTTCAAGTAAATCTACAAAAAAAAATAGAAAAAATATTTTGTAAAGATTTTCAAGTTGTAGTTTTAATTTTTCCATTACCAAAATTTAGTTTGTATAGTGTTACTTATAATTCTTGGAAAGAATTAATTTTTCCTAAACCTAGTATTTTTTCTAAACATCAATTCCCTGAACTTTATAAATATTGGTGTGGTGAAGCTCTTCTTAATTTCAAATAGAATACATATGGAAAATATTATTTTTTCGCTATATTTAATTTTTACCTTATTTTTATGCTTAGTTTTCTGATAGTTGCTACAATTGAAGGATTATCGAATCATATTCAAAAATTACTATTAATTATAAATATTATTTTTGGGATTTTACATTTTGTATTTGAAATTCGGCAATATATTTTTTCTCTTTTAACTTGGATTACAGAAATTTGAAATTATTTTGGTATTATATTTTTAATTCTATTTATCAATTAATTGTAATATTCTTATCTAATTAGCATTATTATATTTTAAGATATATGTACAATATTATTTCCAGTAATTGCTTCTACCTGGGCTGTGATATTATTACTCGAACTTAAATTTATAACCTTCTTTCGTGCTATTGAATTTGGTGGCACATATTGGGCAATGATTATTGGAGTTATCAAAAATTCTTTATCATTTTTTGGTATAATTTGCCTTATTATGTTTGCTTTTACATACTTATTACATGTTTTATCAAGGCAAAATCAATTTCTGAAAATTTTCAAACAAAAATCAATATAATTCTCGACGCAAAACTTTAGGCAAAATTTAAATATAGTTTCAGGCAAAATTAAGCATAACTCCAGGCAAAATCAAAATATAACTTCAAGCAAAATTAAGTATAATAGACATAACTCCAGGCAAAATGAGTATAAATTCGAGCAAAATTAAGTATAATTCCGGGGAAATTATACATACCTCCAGGTAGAGATGCGATCCAGATATTCGTTAATTCAATTTTATAATAAAATTATTATAAAAAAATACAGATAACGGATATCCGTAATTTTTAAATAGGAATACTTATAACAGATTACATCTCTACCTCCAGGCAAAATCGAATTTAGCAAAATTCCAGGCAAATTAAGTATAGCTTAAGGAAAAATCAAGAAATATTTTTCAAGCAAATTAAGTAATGGTTAACTTATATTTACTTAGATTTATTTGGATGAAAATATACAAAATAACAAGTTTGTATTAATAATATTTCATTGTTCTTAATAAATTTTTATTTTGCAAATATAAAAATTTGTTTATTTTAATAAAATTTTGAAATTGCTACTCATCGTGACAATATATTATATAAATTCAGATGAATAAATTTTTGGTAAAATTTTTTCTTTCCAATTAAAGTTTTATGCGGCACTTTATTACTAAGCTGATCGGCCAATATTCCAAAACTAGTGTCAATTCTCTTTAAAAATTCTCTTAATTTTGTAATTTCTTTCACAAAATTGATTACCGATTTTATGTCCCAGAGTATTGCCAATCCAACATTAACTGTTGGCCAAATTGAAATCAAGACATCAAATAGTGTTTGCCTTACCTTTATGGAACTATTAGTGAAATCATATCTGTGTTCAATTAATCTTTCATTATATACTTGTAAAGTAATAAATCTGATTTCTTCAATTAGTGTTTGGATAGAATTTGTCATATATTCACTGTCAAAATTATAATGTAAATAGGCTCCAGACATTAACATTGCTAATATAAGCTTTATTCGATCTTTTTCTTTTTTATTAAGTGATGAATACTGGAGTTATTAATTGAAAAGAGAAAATACGATAGTGAAGAAGACCAAGATGAGGAAGACGAAGACGAGGAAGAGAGAGTCAGTGATTGGAAACAGCAAATGTTTTTTCTTGCGCAAGATCATTATATGGAAATTGATTGAGATTTTTGATTAATGTTGCTATTTTCATGTCAAAATATAAATTTTTTTCTTATCTGATATGCATATAATTAGAATTTTTTTTCTAAAGTGTAACTTGTTAATGAATAAAACATTATAATTTGAATTTTAAAATTTTAAAATATATCATTTTTTAGTTTAAATGATGAAGTTTAGAATTGGGCTAGAACAAAGAAAGAGGCAGTATGAAGAAGATCTTACAAGAATTTATGATGCACATCAAAACGCGATAGGGATAATTAAATCAACTTAATAATTCACGACTTGAAAATAATCACTTGTGACATGTGATTACATTTTTAAAAACTGTGTTACAAGAAACAACAGGAGTTACGATAATTGATTTTTTTTTTATGAAATGAATTATTAATTTTGGTTTATTTATGATAGAAATTTTAGATTAGAAAAACTGCAAATAAATAAAATTCTGAACTCAAAAACCTTTCATTTTGTACTAATTTTTCAATATGAAATGATGGTAATAATTTATATATTTGTCAAATTTTTGACAACTTTATTGACACAGCCTTGACCTTTCTTTTTCAGATTTGATGATTAAAATATCAAATAGGGTTTGGAACTGTTTAACTACATAAAAATTTTTATAGTGCTGGGCCAAATTATTTTAATCATGAGCCAGGATAATTTTAATGCCGGATTAAGTGGTTAATACGATTAAACAATTAAATTAAGAAAATTTTAAGCGGTTCCGGTCTCTAATATCAACTCAACTTTGTTTTTTCAAATTCGAAAACAACCAAGTTTTTTCAGAAAGATTTTTGAGTGCTAGTTTGTATATAAAAATTTTTTTATATTAATTTAAAATTTTTTGTAATACTTGCGTGAAAATAAATAATCAAAAATTAGGACATGTTCTTGACCGGCCCATAAAGCACATTAGTTAAAAAATCTAAAGAAGCAATTAATCTAAAATAAAATTTTACCAATTTAGTTTAATAATTTGATTTCGTTGTTAGAAATGATGGCATTTTACCTTCGTATCCAAACTTTATTTAAACTTCATTCATTATTCTAATTAATTTGTTGGAAAGATCAACTGTGAGTAAGACTACTGCCGTATAAGCGTGAAATAACTCTTAGAGTATAATTTCTAATTTTGGCCTAAATTAAGTCTAATTCGAGCCACTATTCAAAATAATGCCCAAAATTTTTCCAATCGATTAGTTGCAATTAATAGTCACATGTCTTCAATAAATTTGATTAGCATTAATAATATGGACCAACTTGATAATGAACGTGTTAATAACAATCAAGTAAGAAAGAAAAACATAAGAAATTTGAAAATTTTCTGTAATTAAGTTAACCGAAAATCTAAAATATCACTTACAAATCACAAATTTTAGCAAGATGAAAATAACAGAGATCTATGTCTAATACGAGTCATCAATCAATGTTATCTCAGGAATGCTTGAACAAACGACCCTAGCAACAATAGTACACAAGCCGATAACATTGAATCTATTCAAAATAACGAACATGTAAGAATTTTCAACTAATTGATTAATAAATTCAAAGCAAATTATTAATATACATTATTGTTAACAAAAATTTTCATACTGAATGTTTAATCCCTTCACTCCCAAGAATTCTCCTGGAAATTGGTACTGTAAGGAGTGTGAAAGTGGGAATTCAAAGAAATCAAAATATAAAATGCGACTTGAATATTCAAGTTCAGATGAAATTAATAATCAAAGTACAAAAAAAATATTAGTAGAAACATCTACAATTTATCTTAAAGGTGAATCCGCAATATTCAAAAAATTAATGGTTGCAGCCAGACATTCATTGATACTTGTTCAAAAATTGGGTTGGCAAATAATTTATGATAGTAAAACAATTGACCCACCTAGGCTAAGAGTTATCAAGAAGGATTGGGCAGTGCCATGTGAAATAATAGATTAGATTTTTAAATTATAGCAGATCAACATATTAAGTAATGGAGTTAGAATGTGTCATCTTGGTAAATATTTTGAAAAAGGTATTGGCACTAATCAGGATTTAAGCCAAGTATTTTTGCATATATTTTCTGCACAATATAATGTTGTTGATGGAATTAGGAATGTTGCAAGATGTTATAGAGAAGGTATTGGAACAAATATTGATTAATATCGAAGTTTATTTTGGCATAATAGAGCAAATAATCGCTAATTTTTTTCTATTATATTTTTATATTTTATCTAAAATTGACTTAAGAATATTATAATACATTATTTCTTATATATTTTTAATATAAATTTGACTAAAGAGACATTAAAATAAAGATATTATAAAATTCAAATTTTATTAATAAACAAATAATGAGGTTTTATAATTTATATAGCATTCAGAATAATTTGAATCAAATACAGAACACTATTTTTAATAACATTATCATGTTTTATTTTAATTATCACTTTATTAATCATTAATAAATTTATTAAATAATTTTCTTTCAATATTTTTATCAAAATAACTGAGATTTATAAAACAATATTTTAAAATGAATATACCGTATTTGCATGCATCTGCACGTTTTTCGAGTCCCTACGCGTTATTTCAGAACACACATGTGCGATAATTCGAATTGTTTTGACAAATTTGGATTACAAGAGGAAGCCCTACCTTTATTAATGAATTTGGCCTGAAAAAAATATGTAATATGGTAAATTTAAGGATGCGCATTATTTGGGACTCGCATGAGGTGTTATTTTGAGTCAAAAACTAATTTTCAAAAAATGGAAATTTCGAAATAACACACATGTGCATTATTACGTGCAAATATGGTAACTAATTTTGAAAATAGAACATTGGAGCATATAAAAATAAACTCGTAAATGTGTTTTCAATATACTGTATAACCTGTCAAAACTGAAACTGATAACCTGTCAAAATCGATGAAAAATTAATCCACTATGTCTGTTTCTAATATGGTATACCCTGTCAATACCATATACATGGTAGACAAATTTTACATCAGCTTTAAAAGGTTATCAGGTTTAAGAGGTTGAAATTACTATATTAGAAACAGACATAGTGGATTAATTTTGACAGGTTATCAGTTTTAACAGGCTACCTGTATAGTAATTTTAATCTCTAAACCTGATAACCTTTTAAAGCTGATGTAAAATTTGTCTACATGCATACTGGTTTTGACAGGTATACTATATTAAATTATCTAAATTAGTGAATTAAATTCAATTTACATATTGTTTAGCCAATTCTGTATTTAATCCTACTCCACTCGTGTTTATATTGCAAGGGAAAAAATGAGCAGCTATATAGTAGCCTTGAAAGTGCTATCTATTAAAGAACTAATTAATGAAAATGCTGAAAGACAATTGGGATGCGAAATAGAGATTCAAGCCAATTTAAGGTAATTTAAATTACAATATATCAATATATTATATTTATTAACTTTAAATCATTTACTTAAATTATGGTTTTAATTTTTATCGTTATTTATAAAATTTTTCTAGAATTGATTCAGAATTATAATTATAAAGATACAAATACTGAGTTCGAATATTAAATAAATTATAAATTTTACAAAATAAATAGATGAGAATAGTTAAATATATATATAGCTATAACTTGATTAGTTCTTAAAATATATGAAATTAAAGAAATAAATAACAGTAAAAGAACCTTGCATAGTAATAATGTAAATGTCAACCAATTAAATTTTGAGGTTGATTTCATCGATAGTCTCAAAATGCTTTTCAAAATAAAATACTTCAAAGTTTTTAGTATAAGAGGAAAAAAATATAGATAATTTAAAAATATAAAATTTTTCTTACAATTGTACAATAATACATGACAAATCGATTTCAAGATTCATATATTTTATTAATATTACTGTAAATGTGTATATTTTCTGAATCAGTGATATTTTACTTGTCAGTTGATCAAGTAAAAACATTTATTTCATTTAATTCCAACTCAAGTTTAATTAACAGACTTTAGGCCATTAGTACTTTTATTATAAGCCGGGTTGCTAACGCTTCCATCCAATAATGAACCTTCCGAGCTAACAGCACTTTTCATGACAACCGTACCACTAACCTCCGAAAACTTATCATTATAAGCCGGGCCACTAATGCTTCAAATCTACTAGTAATAATAGATTATCCAGATTAATAGCGCTTTTTATAATGATAATTCTTTTAAATTTGAATATCAGAGATTAGATCATCATTGTAAGTGCTTATTGGCATTCATTCTGGCGTAAGGAGAATAGTATTGTCTATGGCAAAAACTTGTTCATTTGAAAATAAAGAATTTATTTCTCTCAGAGTTTTCTTGGCACGTGATGGAGTTATAAAAAAATCTAGTAGGTTAATTATTGATTCTTTTGGAGAGCCAGTCGAATTGTCACTTGGTGATAATGACAGAGTTGATGTGGTAATTATTTGCGATAGCACTAGTTTCTTTGCAGCTTCGCTTATTTTCAAGGTATCAAAATCAACGTTAACATTTTTTGCTATCCATTCTTGCTTTTTTCTTGAAAGTTCATTCATTAATTTTTCCAATTTGTTAAAATTTTCAGCAATAAAGATTTATAAAATAAAAATCATATACGTAAAGATGTGTTAGAATACTTAATGATTAAGACATTATGTTTACTTACAATCAGCTCGTAAATAGTAAATAATAATTGTAAAAAGTTAACTTTATCAATATTTTTTTTCTCCAAGGGAATTTCTGCTCTATTTAAAAGTTTTGAACAATAGACTTTATGCATCATATGATCCAATATAGATATTTCTATTGTTTTTTCTATATAATATATTACAGTATTAATTAATAATTATAAACTTTCCAAATATGATAATATATACATTCTACTATATATTACAGTACAGTATTAATCAACTTTCCAAATATGATAATACATACATTTTACTTGAATCATAAATACATATAATTCGTTCAATAAAATATTTAAGTTTGATTCATCCAGAATTGGTCCGAATTCTGCAACTATAGCCAATTCACAAAGACTCTTTTCATTCTTGGCATTGTGATTGTTTCTACCAATATTAAATCTTTCTTTATTGGGAAGTTTTTTTAAAGATGGCCCGCTTATTTCACCAACTAAATGTACATAGTCATATTGGTCATATAAAAGAAGATTGCGACGATGACCAATTATACTTTTTTTCTTATTTAACCCAAGCAATTTATAGATGCATTTCCTTTGCAAAGATCTAGCTGACATTATTTCTTCACTAAATTTATAAAATTGATTAAAAATAATATAGAATTAATGAAATTTTAAGTTTATACTTACAAAAATGTATAAAGTTTATCATTAATGTGCGTTAATGATTTGAAAATAAAGCCATATATTGTATCAGCTATATATTGTTGCTCACTAATTCTATCCACCTTATAAAAATTTAACCAAATTGATTGTTCCCTGTTAAAGAAATTTTAGAAATTTTAGAATGCTTTAAAATGTATATGGTATATAAAAATACTGCTTTTTACTTACATATGATTTAATATAGTTTGATATATTTTGCATTGTATTTTTCTTCATAACTACAATTAGGAAAAATCTCTGGCTTTTTTGAATTGATTCGTAGTGGTGCAATGTTTAAATTCGTATACCAAACTAAAATATCATCAATATAATTCTTAACGTATAAATCGTTAAGATGATTGACAGTAAATGATAATTTTGCTGACAGATGGTCCAAATCCTCTTTAGATAAATTTTTTTTTAGTCGAGAGTCGAGTTTTAAATGCAAATAATGCTACTTTTAATAGGACTAGAAAAAATAGAAGTTAATATATATCATATATCAATAAATATATAAAAATTTAACATTAACAATAAATTTATTTACTCAAAATACTTGACATCATCGTCATTTATTGAATTTATTCGATCTACAAATAATTCATAAAGATCCATTCTGTTTGATAATAGAACCTTCTCATCCTATTTAAATATTAAATTATTATTTGCATAACGATAATAAATATCAATATAATTCACTAAATACCTTTGTACACTCAGTTTGACAATAGTCTTTTAAGTTTAATGCTGTATCAATAGCCAATTGAAGTTCTTTTACATCTTTTCTGGAGATAACATCCCATCAGATTTTTATCTTTGTTGATATTACGCAAATCTATAGTACTTAAAATTTGAATTAGCTATATGAATAATAACTACAGTATGCTATTTCATAAATACCTACATAGGTTCTTATTTACCTTATATTTCTTTATGAGGAACTCACTTTCTTCATTGTGTACATTCTTAAAATATTCTAAAAAACTAAGATAATAGCCACTCTCCAACCTTGAATCAACATTAAAATCCTGTTGTTTGAATCTATAAAGTAAAAAATCGTATAAATTCCAAGAAGTTATTTCTTTATCTTTAAAGTATTGATGATAGGAACGTTTTGCAAATTTTGATATAGCAGTTATATAGAAACTATGACTTTTAAACTTCATTGTTTAACGTGAAAAAAAAATTTACGTAAATTGAGATGATGATCATGAGAATGTGATTAAATATCTATCACACTGATTGATATTTGTTAACTGATAATCTAACTCCTTTTAGCCAATCATAATTTTTATAAAATATCGTGCCAATTTACATGTCACTTTCTGATTATAAGATTAAAATGTGACACCTCAGTTAGGGTTTGGGTTAGAGTTAGTAGCGACATTATACTAAATTTTTGCAAGTAATTTTTAAAAGGTAATTTCTTAGGCGAAATTTTGATAAGTGTGACTTTTCAAAAAAAAATGATTGTTTTGATAGTCACGTTACACCTGAACTTGCATTTTGATTGGTCAATATCGAAACTTGGGGAATTAGTAAATGCGATTGAGAATCGTAAAGTCAAAGTATTTTAAGTTTATGTCTTAAGGGAAGTTGTTCAGGAGAACAAATTATATATATTTTTTAAATATATGTAATTTGTTCTTCTGAACAACTTCCCTTAAGACTAGGGTATGTAAAGAGCTTTGTGTAAAACCTTTATTGTTATATGAAATTGTAGCGTTAAGCTGTTTTATATGCGGCCTGAATTAAGATTGATTCGTAATTCGAGCTGTAACTCCATTTACATTGATACTTTGCAATCGCTCTTGTTATAGTAAACAAACTATATAAAAACCCTTCACTCAATATAGTGAATTTACGAAAATTTTATTAATTGACTCGAAATGTGAAGAGAATTTCACAACTACTATAGTGAGTGACTTGTATATCTTCAGAAAGCATCAACTATTTTTCAAATCAAATTTCGATATTTAGCTGATTAGTCACATGACTTACAGTATTTCAGCATCTACCAGTGCCGAAATATACACGACATGTGAAAGGTTATTATGCAATACTGCAATACGAATATTTATATTCTGATTTAAAACCTCGTTAAACTGAAATTTGGATATCTATTTAAAAATATCATATAAGAATTTGTGCAAAAGTATTGTTGAATATAAATAAAATCAATCAAATAAAAATTTTAATAGCATACTGAAATAAGGGAAGGATAATAAAAAGAATATGATTATCAAGTTTTTCTATTAAAAAATCAATTTAAAAAATTCAATTCAATGCAACATGTTTTCGTTTTTTACTACTCGACACTATGTATTACAAACTATAAACAAATTTCTAAAACCAAAGTATTGTGTTAACAGGGTTCTATTTATTATTTACGCAAGAAAAATTGGATCAATTTTTAATTTCTGCATCAATGATTTAAGATACTTGAATTTAGAATTCTATTACGTTATCAGATCTAATAACTGGACTCGTACCAACTCGTGACTTGTGAATTAGCAGAAGGGTGCTCGAATTACCTATTTGATCGATTGAGTTTTATTCAAGTTAGAGGTGCAATCTGTAATCTATTAGTTAATATAAATAAACCGTAGTTTATTGTAAAACTGTAGTTTTAAAATAAACTACAGTTTATTTATATTTACTGTAATTCACAGTTCACATCTCTAATTCGAGTAATCCAAGTTACAAAAATTAATACATTTATGAGTTTTGTAAATTGCAAGTTACAAAAACCTACTTCAAATAGCAAGTTACACAATGCAAACATACAGATTATTAGTTAACTTGTGAGTAACTTATGAATTAAAATTTCATGATTTGAATCATCAAATCTCAATTATTCGATTCCAGTTTTCATAAAGTTTTTAATTGATAATCCTTAACAGTTAATGCTAAGATTTTTTTTCTTTCGTTGCCATCGACAATAACTATTATAATTATCAATTTTAATTGAAAAATAATATACATCAATTGATGATAGATGATGCGAATTAAAAAAATGACGCGTAAAATACAATAGAGACAAGCTAAAAAAAAAAATATATATATTTTCAAAATTGAATGAGTGTAAATAAATTGTATTTATCAATTTTGATTAATTTGAATAATATTAATAATATTTAATATAAATTTCATTATCTGTGCAGGTTATTTTAAAAAATGTCAGAGTTAGATCAATTTTTGTATTTTGCATTCTTGTCTGAACACCCAAGTAGGAAGGTTAGGTACAGCAACTAGTAAAGAATCTTTGGGCATATTTCTTAAATAGATAATATACTTATCAGTATATAGCTTAATATGAGCATAGTACCCAATTGTATTAATAAAAAGTAATAGCCCAAGAGATTATCTTAATACCAAAAAAAAAAAAAGTAACAAAAGTATAATTAGTTATATATACAATTTTTAGTTGTTTATTTAAATAGTTTCTTTATTAAATATTATACTTATAATCTACTAGAAGATTATCAATTTAAACTTTTTAATTATTTGCTTTGCCAAATTAACCTTTATCTTTTTTTTTTTAAATATTAAAGTGATTTTTTGGTCAAAAGATTTATTAGTTTTATATTTACACATTCATATCCTATATTTTGAAAAATATAACTAGCCACATATACAACTTTTGGTTGTTTAATTTAAGTAGTTTGTCTAAAGATTCTACACTAGCTATCATACCTATAATTTATTAGAAGATTATTTAATTAAACTCTTTATACTATATATTTGTATTTATATAGTCTTATGCAAGATCTAAATAATTTTTTCTGAACTAACTTAAAACAGTAAACTTTTTAGGGTTTTGTTCTTAAGATAAACTTACTAGAATAGCTTTGTTTCATATTATAGTACTTATCTAGTTTTTTGGTAACTTATACATCTACCAAAGCTAATAATTGTAAATAAAGGTTATCTAAACACTATTATTATCTACTTTTTGCTCTTGCAAAGTTTATTTAAACTCTAATACCAACTTCACAGCATATTTCTAGTACTTTAATATCTTTTGCTTTTGTTCTCAGACTACTAATTCAGATAGCCTAGTAGGATTATAATCTGTTTCTAGTATATTGAGTTGGGCTTGATATTTTTTTTTTCTAATTCAAATCTAGTAATTTGGTTAATAAATTTACTTTACTACAAATAGATTGTGCTCTGTCTAGTTTCTTTACTTTTAGTCTGTTTTCTGGATCTAGTCTTTATAGTAGTACTATCAAAATTTATACTATCTCTCTACTCAAGTTTTCAAATAGGCTTTTGTTTTTTAAATTCTTTAAATTTATATAGCCACAGAAGCTTATTTTAGGTTTGCACTACCCAGTACCAGTTTGCATTTCTTTATATAATAGATATATGAATACTTTAAATCTGCTAGTTATACTAGTACAACTGTAGTTATAGGTATTTTATTCTAATTTATATAGAGAATAGTTGCTATAATACAAATAATAATTTAAATTCTATTGATAGTAAATTTTAAACTCTTGATCTGCTACTTGGTAGAGTAACAATCTAACTACTATATTAAGTTATTATACCTTTTATCTATAATTCTATCTATATACTTATATATACTATTTGAATAGTATATCTTTTTTTTTGTACTAGTATTCAAATTCTTAAATAAGAGTTTTTTTTTTTAAGCAATCTAGTAGTAAGGCTTAAAGTATCTTTTTATTAACTAACCTATCTATTTTATAGTTTTATTAATAAGACTATATCTTTGCAAAATTTATTCAAACTCTAATATCTACTTTATAGTATATTTATAGTACTTTAGTTACTTTTGCTTTATTTTTAAACTACTAATTCAGATAGTTTAGTAAGATTATAACTTGTCTCTAATATATTAGAATCAACTTAATAACTTTTTTTTTTTTAGTTAAATCTAGTAGTCTAGTTAGTAAATCTATTTTACTACAAACAAATTATATCTTGTCTAATTTTTTTACTTTAGTTTTTTTTTTAAATCTAGCTTTTATAGTAGTATTATTAAAAATTTATACTATCTTTTTACTTAGATTTTCTTAAATAGGTTTTTGTTTTTCTAGTTTTACAAATTTATATAGCTACAAGAACTTATCTTGAGTTTGTATTGTCTATTACTAGTTTGCATTTCTTTGTATAACTAAAGTTATACAAATATCTCATGACTTGCTAGTTATACTGATATAATTATAATTACAAATATTCTATTCTAACTAATTAACAGAAGATAGTTGCTATAATACAAGTAATTATTTAAATTTTTATTACTAGTAAGTTTTGAACTCTTGATCTGCTACTTGGTAAAGGTAATAATCTAACTACTACACTAAGTTATTATATTTTTTTAAAATTTTTTTAATTAAATACTAACAGTCACAGGACATGTCCTTTTATAGGGGTTCGAAATGTTGTTTATATGAACATTTAAATGTCGATCATTTGATTTTCATATAGAAATTTTGCCCTTGCAAAAAGTTTTTAATACAATAACCTCAAATTTGTGAAACCTTTTGACTATCGTTGATTAGGTCAAAAATATAGTTCGAATGTTTCTTTATTAAACTACAAAATCTCGATTCTTAACTCTCTTTTGTTCAAAGAGAATCTTTGCTCGAAGTTAAGAGTATACTAACCCCTGTAATATATAGCTTCTGATCAAAATCACAGCACCTACATGCTTAACAGCCTATTTTACCACTCTACTTTTACAAATAATTCGCAGCGATCTATTTCATTAATTTGCACTTCACCGAAGGTTAAATAATCAGAGATTTTAAATGCTACATGTAAGAAAAATGCTTGTTTTATATTTTTATTAATCTAGCATTCTTTTATTTTATACTACAATAATAGAACTAAGCAGGCATGTTGCAGCACCCCTTTAGCCATAATAGCAAGTTTTTCTTTTATCACAAATAGATCCAGCACAATTAGGCTTGTATAGAATCTGGTGGAATGATCAGGCTTGTATAGTACAATAATTCGATCTTTTAAAAACTATTGTTTTATCTCCCTTTCATATTTTTTTCACCATAGGGTACACATGTTACAGTTTCTCTTCAATTGTAACTAACATTTTTTTTTTTTTTATGAGTCAGGGTAGCAGTGTGTCCGGGCTTTTCTTCTCTCGATTAGGGAACCAAGAGATATTTTCTGACAT